AGAGCTTACTCTGCCCCAAATCTGCTCCAGCACAGCAGGAACAAAATAACTGATGAGGGAGGGTGATGTGTATATACACAAGTGAACAATTATGTATGGAACTGAGTGAGTGAGGGAGATGGCTGATATTGACTGTAGTTGGTGTACTATCTGTATTACTAGCACTGACAGGGGGGTTTTGGTGGGCAAAAATCAGCCTGTCAGATAGCAAACATTTTTTATATGATTGAATCCCAGTAGAGTGAAGGACATCTACATACCAAGACATACATGACATTAAATAAATGCTGTTCTTTCTGTCTTCTCCCCATTAATCATGGCCTTAGTACCCCTTTCCCATGCTGCGCCAATCAGCCGTAGTTTGTGTGTGTGTTTGTCAATGTGAAAGGATTATTCACTGGTTTCGTTTCCTTATGTGTCTCCTGCTGCAGGCATCTGAGTTTAAGCACTGGATTAACAGCTCAGACTAGACTCTTATCAGTTTTCACCTGCAGGAAGCAGTTTTAGTGTCCACAAAGACACTAAAAATCAAGGTGCACTGATACGCAGTCATTACAGTAATTGGCATAATCCTTTTTTTTTTTTTTCAAAGCAGCTTCTGTTGAGTTTTCATTGTTGCTGTGGTCTTCGGGCTTTGGTGTTTGGTCACTGATGTGCATTTCAAATTGCTCTGTTTAAATTCTATGCAGTGCTTTGGAAAACCAGAGATGGTGGGAAAAAAAGTCAACAAGGAAGGGTGTGAATATTTGATTTCAACATCACAGTGATGGGAAATCCTCTCTATGAGTAGTGTCTGTGGAGGGCTTTGTCTGTTGGTGACATGTAGTGCTGCAGACTTTATATTAATCAGACGTTTTAATGTCCAAAATTGTATAAAGACAGAAATGAGCACAGAAAGGCCGCAGATAAATGGGACATCAGTAAATTCTGAGTTGTCTCCGCACTGACAGTGTTCAGTGTGTAAATAGCATATATAATCTATACAGATTAATGGAAAATCATTTTAAAGACCTGCCTGAACAGCTGGCAAGACTGGCTTCTTGATATGTTTGTGCGTGGTGGGATCTGTGAGAGACTGTGTGTGAATGTGGGGTCGGTCCTGGTGAATTTCTCCCGAGGAATAGAGGGATCAGCCAACATGCACGTGCACACCATGAGATTAAACTCTTGTCTTCATTTATCACTTTCTGTTCCTTTTTAACAATGTGACTTGGGTTTGTTTGGTGTGTGTGTGTGTAGCCCTCTGTTCCATTTCACTGAATTTGATTGACCCACTGTCTTGAGTGTAATCTCGGTTTCAGTTCCCTCTTTTCTTTCTTTTTTCATTGCCTGTTGGGACTGCTAATAAAATGATTGTTAAAAGTGAAACACCACATTGGGCTTCTTCCTTATCTGGTGGTTTTTATATTGTCACTGAAGAAACCCTTTGTTACAAAATATGTATTTTACATTTCATCAAAATGCATTCTCTTCACATTACTTTACAGCTGACAGTGGTGTGGGGGATTTACAACACTGAAAAACGGTTTACTGCAGTGAAAGGTTTTTACTTGGACTACCTTCTACTGAAGAAATGGTCTCCATGAAACTGCTATTAATGTGTTTTGTGGATTATTCACAGCAACACAACAAAAGAGATTGTGTTGAATTTTTTCTTAATGTCCACCAGAGAGCACAGTTCTTACACAGTGTTATGTGGACAGGAGGGATATGAAGCTGTCCACCAAGTCTGCGTAATTATTTAGCACAGGGAGATTATGGAGTCGACCCAGCCAAGCTGAAACCCTGGGTAAACGGGGTCAGTAAATGTGGTGTGTAGTGTGTGGAGGAGAGTCAGCACACCAGAGGAGACCACGTAGAAGGATAATGTCCCTGCTGGCCAGTCCAGATAAACTCCAACTTTATTGGAGCTGTGTGGGGTGGTTACTGCAGTGTTCATGCCTTTGTGCAAGATCCTGTACCCATCTTTGGTGCAGCTAAGACCCCAGGAGGAGTCATTTCGTCCTAACCAGCTGTCGTGACCCTCTCCCTTCCTGCACATCTGTTTGTAGGCTACTCCTATGAAAGTTCTCCCACTCCACTCTGTCTCCCAGTAGCAGTGCCCAGTCAGTCCCTCACTACACAAAACCTGTCTCCAGAAATCAAATCGTTCTGGGTGATCAGGGTATGGCTGTGGGGTCCAACGTATTGCTTTCCTGTTTCCTTCAGACAGAGAGAGGTCTCTGTGTGCCGTGTTTGGGTCCAGGGTGAGTTTGCGGGTATCTGATGAAATAGATTAAACATTTCATATGTTACTCATTGGTGACTTTAAAAGCAAAGGAAAAGGTCCAGGGTGCTGGTTACTCACATTTCTTTGGACCCGGTTGAACCCTAGATTCATCACACTGTTCCACACTGAAACATAACAGAAGATCATAGTTTTTGCTTATGTATCATTAGTATGGTTTTAAAAGGTATTGACTTTTCCTGCTTAAAACATTGTCAGATTCACAACAGATGATTTTTTTTATGCAAAAGTCAGTGCGGCAGTGTGATATATACTGTACAGTCACCATCTTTATTCTAAAAATAAAGTACAAAAACCATAGTATGTAAGGGTCACAGTGTTTCTAGATCACTTCACATCTTTTCTATTCCTCTACTGCAGTATTTTGTTACTTATCAGCCAGCATGTTTGCATTCGTGAGGAACTATTGTACAGTAGGTCAGCTGATTTATCATTCAGACTCTAGCTGACTACCTGAGTTTCTGCAGGGTACATTGTGGGTCGTCTAGCAGAGCAGACAGCAGCTGCAGGCCTGAGTTTCCTGGGTGGTTGTAGCTCAGGTCGAGCTCTCTCAGATGGAATGAGTTCAAGGCAGATGCCAGGAAGGTGCAGCCTTCTACTGTGACTCTACACAAGGACAAACTTCAAGACAAGACACCAGATATTTGATCTAGCTGAGCTTTATGGCAACGACCGTGTCAAGTGAGTTCGCATGCTGTACTACACTGTACATTCCTGTTAAATAATTCAACTGGCTTGGAATTTCATTCAGGGAACTCACCTGAGTATTTCCAGCTTACAGTGAGGGCTCTGCAGTCCACCAGAAAGCTTCATGACTCCCATATCCTGAATGTCATTGTCAGTAAGGTCCAATAGTTTCAGCTGGCAGGAGGCTGAGCTGATAACTACAGCCAGGGCATCAGAGCTGTGTTCTGTTAGATTGCAGCTCCTCAGTCTAAACAAACAAAGGATACTAAAATCACTAGCTTACAGCTTGTATTTTAAGTAAAAATATATTTAATTTTCTTGGGGGAAAGAAGATGTGTTGGAGATCGACCTTAGTGTCTCCAGTTTGCTGTGCTTCAGAGCACCACAGAGTTGTATTAATCCTGCATCTGTCAGGTTGTTGTCACTAAGGTCCAGCTCTCTGAGTTGAGATGAGCTGATGCCATTTGACAGGCTTTCACAGCAAGTCACAGTGAGATTACATGCATTTAGACTGCAACAGGAAAGACAGAATCAGAAAGGTAAATAACTAGTGAAGAAATGTGCCCTTCTATTGGGATTAGACACTACTTCCAGTCCTTTAGAAAGTGCAACATGGCACACTGCCTAACATTTTCCAACTTTGAAACCAACTCTGAACACAAGACTGGCTTCTTATCACCTTTTAATTTGACATGATGAACTTTTTAGCAAACAGTTGCATATGTACATATCCAGCAGTCTCACTATCATTCATTTGCTGTCAAGATTATGACCTCTTTTTTTGTATTGCTCATTCATCATGCCCAAAAGAAAATGAAAACTGAAGCATATCTTTTTTTTTTTCTTTTTTTTTAAACACTTACTTTGCCACTCGGGCTGTTTTCACAACAGGTAGTAGCTTTAGAAGACCCTCCTCTGACCTGTTGTAATTGCTCAGGTCAAACACACTCAGTTCTTCTTCTGAAGTCAATAAAACAAAGACCAGAGTGGACCACTGGGCAGGCGAAAGTTTTGCTTTGTCCAGATTGCCCGAGCTGAGGTAGCTCTGAATCTCCTCCACAAGAGAGTGGTCATTCACTTCATTGAGACAGTGAAAAAGGTTGAGGCATCTGTCTGGGGATTCACTTGACCTGATCCTCTCCTTGATGTGTTTGATGATTTCTGTTCTTGTCCTCTGGTTTGCTCTGTTGCTGGTCATCAGATGTTTCAGCAGAGTCTGATTAGATTCCAGGGACAGGCCCAAAAGGAAGCGCAGAAAGATATCAAAGTGTCCATTTTCACACTGCAGAGCCTTTTCCACTGCTGCTTTGTAAAGGATGAGCTCAGAAGAATCTCTGAATAGAAAACGTCTCGTAGCGGAGGATTTCTTGACCAAGACGTTGATGTTGTCATTGTGGAATGTGAGGAAGACATACAGCGCGGCGAAGAATTCCTGAATGCTTAGATGCACAAAACAGAACATCTTCTCTTTGCACAGAGTCAGCTCCTCATTAAAGATCTGTGTATAGACCCCTGAGAACATGGCTGCCTGTGTGACATTTATGCCATTATTGATAAGGTCGCTCTCATAAAAGATCAAGTGGCCCTTCTCGAGCTCTTTGAAGGCCAGTTTGCCCAGTGAGATGAGATTATCTCTCATGCAGTCAGGATTAGACTCTCTTCTTTCAGGCAGCCTCTTCTTCATGTTCTCCACATACAAAGACAAAAAGTGTATGTACATCTGAGTGAGAGTCTTTGGTGTGTCTTTACCGTTTGTTGTCACCAGCTTCCTTTCAAGAACACTTGCCGCCATCCAGCAGAAAACTGGAATGTGACACATGATGTGAAGACTCCTGCAGGACTTCACATACATGATAACCCTGTTTGCTAAGCTTTCATCGCCAATTTTCCTCCTGAAGTACTCATCTTTCTGTGTGTTGTTGAACCCTCTCACCTCAGTCACTAGATCAATGTACTCTAGAGGGATCTGACTGGAAGCTACTGGGCGAGATGTTATCCATACAAGAGCCAAAGGCAATAGTCTTCCCCTGATGAGGTTGATCACAATCACAGCAATCGTGGTCGGCTGTTTTACATCAGATATGATTTCACTTTTGTGGAAGTCCAAAGACAGGCGGCTCTCATCCAGACCATCCAGGATGAAGAGCATTTTGTTTTTACCATTAGTGAAGATCCCTGTGTCTTTTGTTTCAGGGAAGAAGACACTGAGAAGCTCCTCTAGACTGAAGGTTTTCTTTCTCATCAGATTGAGCTCTCGGAAAGAGAGGGGAAACACAAAGTCCAGGTTGGTGTTTGCTCTCTCCTCAGCCCAGTCTAGACTGAATTTATTGGTAGATACAGTTTTTCCGATGCCAGCGACTCCCCTTGTGATCACAGTTCTTATGAGGTGGTCTTGTCCCGGTAGGGGAACAAAGAGCTGATTGCAGTGGATTGATTTTTCCTGGGCCACATGTATCCTGGAGGCCGTCTCAATCTGTCTTACCTCATGCTCCTTGTTGACTTCACCACTGCCTCCCTCAGTAATGTAAAGCTCTGTGTAGATCTTATTGAGAGGCATCTTGTTTGCATCTGTCATCATCCCCTCAAGTATATAAGTATACTTCCTCTTCAGAGTAGCTTTCAATTTCTGTTGACATTCTATCTTACCATCTGAAAGAGGAAATGCATTAAAAGGTTATTTAGGTCTTCAAGAATCAAAGTCTTCTGTCTATATGTCAAATTCTTAAATATGATGAAGTCATGGGTAGTAAGAAATACTCACTTTGGAGCTGCAGAGCATCAAAGCTGTCTTCAGCATAGTTCAGTGTTTCATTTGATGAAACAATGGACTCTACAAAAGGAGATAAAAGATCAGCAGAGCCCGGATGCCACTTCAGATACTTCCACAACTGACATATCTACCTTTGCAGGCTGAGGTGATAGTGATATTTAAGTTCCCAATGTTAGAACCAATGACGGAAGGAGCAACCACATAGCCTTCACTGTGAGCAGTGAAGCTGGGATGAAAATGATGAACCACCGATTGAATAGATGGAACTGACTCTGAGAAAAATCACAAAACTCAACTTTAGCAGTTTGTTACAAAAATCCAAAAGTTTGTTAATTCAGTTCAGTTTGTTAATCTTTTTCCAAGAATTCATACAGTTATATCATGTAGTTATAGTTTTGGAATGGGCACCTGTTTTTCATCCTAATGACTTGTTGTACCATGTCATATTGCCTTGTAAACTTTTATTCTGATTTGCCATCCTTACCTTGAGAGACCTTTTCTGTTTCAACAGCAACACTTCTTTGCTCCATTTTTTCACATCAGTTCCTTCATCCTTACAGTATTTAGTTGACACTCCTCACCAGTGGTCTTCATCTGGACTCGGACATGAGAGTGGGACTTTCCTCTGCACTTACAGTATGTTTGTGGACCAGATAGTTGGTCATGCAAACTACAATAAAGAACAAACAGGATTCTTTCAGATACACTGTGACTATGTTCTGTGAAGGAAACTGAAATTCAACAAATTAAAAATGAATAAAATGCTCACCTACTTCAATTATGATTTGTGTGATGACTGATTTCCATCTGAGTCACACACTAACAGCAGCTGCTTGTATGTGGCCAGGATGTATCCGCACAGACATAAGAAACTGTCTCAAAAAAAAAAAAACAGTCTCTGCTTCCTTCCTGTCTGATGAAATCAGGAAACTTGTCTTTCTTGCCTTCACACACAGTCCTTATAGAAAATGTAGCTGATGAAACAGTTTCATTTGCTAGAAAATGAAATCATTTTTTTTAAAAACAGCTATACGTTTTGATATTTTTTACTAAAAAAATTATGCACTGATCTTTTAAACAAAATAATTTTGCCATGAAATATAACAAAAACAGTTTTTCAGTGTTTGTTATATAATCATGTGTGTTTGTTGTTTTGTTTTGTTTACATAAAATTAATTTGGCAGAAGCTTTTATCAAAAGTGACTTACAGTACTTTAATTGCATTCAAACCATGTAGAAGCAAGATCTAAATAATATACATAACAAATGACTATAAGTGTATTCAGTGCTACAGTAGAAGTCCTTCAAGGTTTTTTTAAGCAAGATGTGGCTGTTTTCCAGTTTCCATTCTAGTTGCTGCAGCTTTGCCTTTTGAACAGATGATGGAGGCAAAGTCCAGGTTGTGCTGCACTGGGTTTACTGCCCCCATATACGATACTGTACATGAATTGGCTGATTTGAGTTGCTAAGGCAGATAATGATACCAGTACTGCATGGACTAAAGTTATTTTTTGGAAACAATCCAAAAGTCTATATATCATTACAGGATACATTCACAGTCTTTCCAAGTCTGTGTCAGAACAGTAGCCTGTACCCACATGGTACCCACATGAATGTTGAAATAGGTTTCTGCTTGCTCTCTTATCCACATGAGCCAGTAAAAGATCCCTTCTTAATATGCTTTTAATGTAAGTGATAGGAGACAAAATCTACAGTCCTGCATGCAAAAATGTATTCAAATATTTATCTGATGTTAATATTGAGCTTTGGCTTCTCTGATTTAGACAAAT